AGAGAGAGAGAGAGACTTAAAAAAAAATACATTAATGTTTCTCTTTTTATTTCAGGAAATCTCTTAATGGAGCCACAAACCAGCACCTCTCTCTGACCCATCATCAGTAACACAGACCAACATGGAAGTCGACCCTTCAAACAGCACTTTTGCCAACACATCACATGTCCAGGCGACTCCCCACAACGTGTGGGAGGTTATTACCATCGCTACAGTGTCAGGCATCGTCAGCTTGATAACTATCGTTGGTAACGTGCTGGTGTTGCTGTCCTTCAAAGTCAACAGCCAGCTGAAGACTGTAAACAACTACTACCTACTGAGTCTGGCCTTCGCTGACCTCATCATCGGAGTGTTGTCAATGAACTTATACACCACATATATCCTGATGGGTTCCTGGTCCTTGGGAAACCTTGCATGTGATCTCTGGCTAGCAGTGGATTATGTTGCCAGCAATGCTTCAGTTATGAACTTACTCGTCATCAGCTTTGACAGGTACTTCTCCATCACGAGGCCGCTAACTTACAGGGCTAAGAGGACTCCCAAGAGAGCTGCCATCATGATTGGCCTCGCATGGCTGGTGTCTTTTGTCCTTTGGGCGCCACCCATTCTGTGCTGGCAATACTTTGTAGGAGAGAGAAAAGTGCCTCCTGACCAGTGCCAGATCCAGTTTTTAACAGAGCCTGTGATCACATTTGGTACAGCCATTGCTGCTTTCTACATCCCTGTCTCTGTTATGACAATCCTCTACTGTAGGATCTACAAAGAGACGCAGAGACGCACCAAAGATTTGGCAGAGCTCCAAGGCCTGGCTACGGAAAATGTTCTAGAAGGGACTAAACCACAGAAAACTATCATTAATTCTTGCTTTCATTTCACCAGAGAGAGGAGAGAGCGGAGTCAGGCCTCCTGGTCCTCATCTAACCAAAGCAATGCCACTAAAACCACCACCAGATCAGATCAGGCATGGGTGAAAGCAGATCAGGTCACTTCCTTTAACAGCTACTCCTCGTCCGAAGAGGAGGAGCAGCATGTTTCAATAGAAACCCCACAGGGATCTTTCAAAGAGCAAGGTAGTGGGCAAAGTAATAAGAATGGACAGGTGGGTGATTATGCAGAAGATCTGTACTTTTCCACTCCTCAAAAGAAGAGCAGTAAAAAACAGCTCTCTTATAAATTCAAACCGGGCTCTCGCTCAAAGGGTAAAAACGGCAAACCAATGACTGCGACGCCCTGCCTGCTTAAAGAAGAAGAGCCCACCAAAAACGCCTCGCCTTCCTCCTCCACCACCTCCAAACCCATCGACCCCGTCCTGAAGAACCAGATCACCAAGAGGAAGAGGATGGTGCTTGTGAAGGAGAAGAAGGCGGCCCAGACTCTCAGTGCCATCCTGCTGGCTTTCATCCTCACATGGACGCCCTACAACATCATGGTGCTCATCTCCACTTTCTGTACCGAGTGCATCCCCATGTCCCTGTGGCACCTGGGCTACTGGCTGTGCTACGTCAACAGCACCATCAACCCCATGTGCTACGCGCTGTGCAACAAGACCTTTCAGAAGACCTTCCGCATGCTTCTGCTCTGCCAGTGGAGGAAGAAGAGGAGAGGGGACGACAAGCTGTACTGGGGTGGACAAAACCCAAATGTCAACAATAAAATGACTTGATGTGGCAAAATGCTATTATAGAACTGATTTATTGCTTTTGCCCACATGTGATGATTTTCTTGATGTATACTGTAGTCAGTGGTCATCTTCAGCATGAAGTGCTGCATGGGGTTTTTGTGTTAAAAGTACATGTCGGTGGAAAATGAGCTGAGCCTGATGCAGCACTTAAACTGCTGTTCCAGATTATTACAGCAAAGAAACCTCACGAAGGTGGCGACAAATTATCACAATGGTTAAAAAATAGATTCATATCGTTGCATCAATCCAATCGGTACTCCACCGCTTTTATACATTGAAGCCTGTTGACCGGCTTTGTATAAAAAGTTGTATAAAGAGTTTTGTTGCTCCAGAGGGAGCTGCACAAAGGCTGATACATTGCCTCAAATGATGTCACTCGGGTCAGCAATCGGTTGCTGAAAACTACAAGTTTGGAAATGAAAAAAAATCTGGGGGTGTGCATTTAGAAAGAAGTGAGTTTACCAGACCTCTGTGGCTCACTCCTGATCTCAGCTGCAGACTAGCGGCTCCAGGCTACATTAGCTGCTACTAGCATAACACACCAAAAAACAGTCAGTGGTTACGTTGCATTTCGGGTAATGTAGGCGCCAGGTTACATTAGAAGAAGAAGAAGAATGTGTGGAATAAAAAAGTTGATATCTCTGGTTCTGCTGCATCCATTTTGAAACTGTCCATCATGAGTCCAACAATGTCATAGCAGTGCCATGCTAAATAGGTGGAGTACTCCTTTAATACAACACTCACATGCCAATATGTACGTTGAAAGAGTTATTGGTATGCTGTCCTCCTCTCCATCGTGGCAAATAAAGTAATCTCTTCCCCATGACTCAAATGTAAAAAACATTAGCATGTTTCATAGGTTCTGTATTTTTTTTAGGTAATTTAACTTTTTTGTGCAAAAATCATAACTGAAACAAAGCATTATTCAATTTGTCTGAGGATTCAGCTGCCTTTTTTTCAAGGATTTTAACTCCTCCCACCCTGTGTGGCTTTTTTTCGGCCTTCTTCTGCTACATAATCACATTTTTAGCATTTTCTCTGAGCGTTTAATAATGACACGGATGGGTTTAAGTTGTTGTTACTTGAAAGCTCTCATAGAGGCGATTAAAGGTGCCTTGTGCGGCGGTAACAGACACAGAGGGGCCTGACAAAGCGTTGGTATTTGTTGCCTGGAAATGAGAACAGGCTGACCAACTTCACCAGGGCCATGTCAGCACATTTCTAATATAGTCTGGTTCATTTTCTTTAATCTACATGCTGAGGTTATAAAACCCCGGCTTGATTTAGCTAACTCTGGCAGACTGCGGAAGCCTTATACTAACTTTAGTCACTATGGAGGAATCACTTCTCAACAAATGTGGAAAGGAGGAATTAGTAACAACATGCTTTTGACGTACATGAGCATTTTTGTGTGTTAGCATGTGGATAAAAACACTGAACCACTCATACGGTATAATCCTCCTTTATTCTATCGCTCACTTGCACTGTATATAAAGGACATATTGTAGGCATACACATTTCAAAGTAATCTATAGTATAATGAATATATTTCACTGATTCTGTTGGATTTTACACATCTCAAATGGTAAAAGTAAATTGCTTGGTGTATATCAGTGTTTAGTGAATGTTTTAGTTTTCTATCTTGGCTCTTGAAATCGATGTTTGATCTTGTGTTCAAGGGCTAATCTGTACATTTCTGTGCATTTAAAGCTGCATTAGTGTCACGGTGGTAACATGACAAAAGAGATTGTTTATGGATCACACCTTTATTCCTGTCACTTTTCATATTACTGCAACAACAACAAAAACATGGGACACATGGTATTTAAACATAATGAAGCCTGACTACCAACATGTCTATCTGATAGATGAGTGATGCTGTTGTAAATGATTGCACTTCTTTGTCTTTTAATGATGTAATGTCAAATGTTATCTCCTTAAACTTTGTGCCTTTTGTTCTGCTCAGAGGCAAAAGAGCTTTGTGAATGCATTTTCGCTCATTGTCCGTCTGTGCAGTTATGTGAAAGTGAGTCTGTGTGTACTGATTTGAACAGTGAAATACAAACTCAAAGGCAGCATGAACATTTTCAGCATCATGTGCCATGGATGACATGCACAAATATGACTGTTGCTGAATGCAGAACAGAGCTTAGACCTCCCAGAGGTCATCAGATGTAATGCTACTTCAGTCTTCATTATTAAAGGATAAGTCTGGTGATATTCTATAGTTTTCTTATTGTCAACAAAAACTGTGAAAAGACCAAAAATCTACAGCAAATCAATCCCACAAACAAGCTGTGTAGCCAAAACTTGGATGTGTTTTCCTCTGTCATATATCACCATTGTTCATTGAATAAACTCTTGAATAAACCACACAGGTCCACTGGGTGACGTGTTCCTTCATTATAATGAACCTGGGCACGGCAGCTTGTTTTGAGTCAACCCCACATACACCGTCCTGCTGCCGTGAATGTTAACCTGCACACCGAACCCGCAGTTGAATATAGTCCCCAATAAGTAAACCATTTTCTCATGTTTGAGCAGTAAAAAAGTAAGTATATATTTATGATCCATTTATATTAAAGATCTATATCTTCATGTATCGAGTGGGCTTGGAGCTGAGAAATATAACATACTGAAAAAACGTTAGTCGTATTATGGGATTTGTTGATATGAACTATAATTGCCAGCATTATTGCTTAAAGCAGAGGTACCCAACCTTTCTGGATTGCCATGCCTTAAAGGAAAAGTATGTTGCATTTAGTAGGATTTACTGAATGTAATACAACTGTGTTTTCATTAGTGTGTAATCACTCGTAAATAAGAGTTGTGTGTTCATGATAACAGGCCTCAACCCTCAGCTTGGGAACCATCATCTTAAAGCATCAAAGTACATCCTTTTAGCCAATATAGTAAAAGAAAAAAATCCCAACTTACTAGTTTTTTCTTGAGACTTCAACCACATAACCGGGTCTTCATCAGCAAATGGAGTTAGCTCAGTTGTAATTATGATTGAATGACTTATCATGTAGTGAGAACATTTATCACAAACACATTTTATTATTACTTTATTATGGACTTTACCGTCCGCTTTATTAAAAGTAAGTAAAGTTACACTCTAGAGATCTTGAAGCAACCACACAGCTCTTTCTTCCTTTTAACTGCCAATCATTGCCTTTGTAATTTACAGTATGTGAATCCTGGTAATACAGTACGCCACACAATGATTAACAAAAAATGAGAAGACCATGTGTTCACTCCCAAAATAAATAAAAACACAGTTGTTATATACCATTGCAATTTATTCATCTAGGATTTTAAATAAGAATTTATCGGTCTTAAAATTCAATTAATCTTCATTCACAGTCATTTTACTGAAATTGGAAAAAAAAAAAAAAAAAAAAAATCTCTGTATATATGTTCTCTTAGGTAGTGGAATTAGCAGCAGTGAAAAAATGCACACTGGAGGGTTAGCACAGAAAAGATGGATGAGTAGAAGAGCCACAGGTAGAAAGTATAGAGCAAATTAAGGATAACAGCTTTTGCAGAGTTTAAGAAATGTCTATCAGTGCAGTAAGGACGTTTCCAATAGCATATTAGAAATCTAGATGTGCTTAAAACATCTAATAATAATAAAGAAAACTGTACAATAGACCCAGGGGAAATGACACTTAAAAATCTTTCTTCCATGGCATAACTCGAGCTTCCTTAGGCAGATTGAAGGGACGTGTACAGTACTACCTCCTCTTGACGGCCGGCCTGGTGCCCTTGCTGCTGCTGCTTGCCTTGCTGGAGCCCTTGGAGCCGGAGAAGAGCTTGGTCATGAGCTCAGAGACGTCTGGAAGCTCGGGGTTGGGGTTCAGCATGTTCATGGACTGCTCCATTTCCTGTAAAGATGGCAGGGAAATGAAAACGGCTGTAGCTGAAGAAGTGGGACTGACTCTGGAAAAATCCTCACTGATTTTTTAAAAAACGATGTCACTGTTATTTTTCACTGTTATGATAGACTCACACTTCAAGTCGAGGCCAGGACATCATGAATTCAAAACAAGTGTTCCTTTGAGTACTGACATTATAAATGCTATTCTGTGATGAACTTGTGACATACACCCTCATTAAACTGATCAGAATGCGTCTAATACAATTTAGCATGATGATAAACTCCATGCAGACACACTATTTTTGTAATAACACCTGAGACTATAATGGATTCTTTACCTTTCTCATCTCTGGGTCATTGGTGTTGACCACCTTGGGCAGTAGAACAATGATCAGCAGGGGCAGAACCATCATCATGACCTGCAGGAGCAGACAACTCATTTAAACAAGACACCCAGTAGCATAATAACTATCTTTAACATTTGCATATAGCCAACAACTAAAAATATTTATGGGCAACCTACACACACTGAATCAAGGATGAGCATGTCTAATAAGGACAATCAAGTCTGGGCAACTGCAACTGCACATGTTAGGCCCAGTTTGGTTTGAATAACTTTTGATGACCATCTTGCTTGTGCAGAAGCAGTTCACTTTCCTTTCTGGGTACTGCAAACCACATGGCAAGGTAATGATATGCACTGCACAGAAAACAATAAAAAGTGTTTGTCCCTGCTTCTCTGCATTTTGCTCACCCAAATGACATATTCAGCAAGTTCAGTGCAATATAATCGGTTAGTGTTTTTTTTACCATTGGGTTCATGAGAAAGTCTGTCCAGCCCCAGGTTTCTCTCTTCATGAAGTAGGTGTGAGGGCCGTTAGCCCTGACCTGAAGAGGATATGGCTGGCGAATTACCTCTGAAGTCTTGATGTAGTTCACAAGACGTGCCCTGTGAAAAGACACACGGTTACTAGTGGGTTAGAGATGCCTCTAAAAAAGTACACTGAAAAATATGCAATGCTGACCAATGTGAGACATTTGTGTATGCCCTTTTTTTTGTTTCCTCAGAATAGTCTTACCTCATTTTGCCCTTGGATGTGATATCAACACGTACTGGCTCAAATCTATAGTTAGGGGTGACAATTTCCACAACGTAGGAGCCTGAAGGGACGTCATTCACAGCGAAACTTCCATCAGTTCTGTAACAACAATAGGATTTTTTTTTTAAGACTGCACATGTATTCAGTTCAGAGAGGTGTTCATTTGACTTTATGGACATGTTTTACGCTGTCATATGTGGAGCTATTGATTTTGATTGCTTTATATTGTGGAGCGTGTCTTTAGTCAAGCCTATTTATATCAATTATAGGATAAGATTGGTGTACATAATAAACTAGCAACTGATTGTGTTTATCTAGGTTAACATTTGAGGAAATAGGACCAGCCATCTCCCAAATTCCTTCCAAGTAACTCTCAAGTGGAATACATTTATATGGTTAACCCATTATATTTGGAATCTGCTGTTTATTAACTTACAACATGGCAGATATACACAACCATTTCACAGTAACCTTAAAGGAACTGACTGCTTAGGAACAGTCCAACTGCTTCAATTCTGATAAATCCACCGCAAAACGTTACTACGGATAATTGTATAAAACTGATACGCAGTAAATTCTAATGCTGCAGTACAACCTATATATCAGTGCTTTTAGACTGCAACAACAACAGGCACGTCTCTCGAGGCCAAGGTTTGTTGTGTTCACAGCTAACGTTCGTTACCATGAGACCCAGAGGCCTGGCTGAGCTCATAATGAAAACAACTACTAAGTTCAGTGACAGATAAGTAAAAATGAAATAACCGTGTTGTTGTCCCGGTTGGCAGGAATCACATTCACAGCTATTAAGCTGTAAATTAGTTTGGAACATGCCAACCGGTACGACAGCTGCTGCCGTGCGGTTAGCATCAGTGGCACGCCAGGCTAGCTGGCCATGCTAATGCTACCTATCCTCGCTAACAGGCTAGCCAGCTAGCTAGGTAGGACTGCGGCTGTTTCTTACCTCATAAATCCCACGTACTCTTCACCTTCCACGAGGATTCTTGCCGTGGAGACCCAGTCTTGTGTTTTCACCCCCGGAACTATCGCTCTTCCCTCGATCTTGAACCGATCTCCGTTCGGCTGGTTTGATAACGTTACACCTGCGCCAGGCCCCGTTTCGATATCAGTGAAACACCACGCTACGACGACCGCAGCCTGCACGAAAACCCATAACAGCGGTATTCTTTCCCTGTAAAACATATTGTCCGTCTCTATCAAGTTAAAACGAGGTCTAACTGTATGTCCGTCAATGTGTATTCAAGAGCAGCTTGGAGAAGGACCGGCCGGAAGACTGAGCACATCAGCTGTGGATGATGACGTCACATTGAAAGAAAACTTTATTGAACAACTCGACATTAACATTTAGTTGATGTACAGTACTTTTTCCTGTGGAAATCTAACATTATAAACACAATTTAAAGCCGTCAGTTAGAGATATACTAACATGTTAAGTATTTTGTAATGTAATCTTAAAGTTAGATAGACTTTATTTATCCCGAAAGGGGAAATTTGTTTGCTACAGCAGCAAAAAATATACTAAGAATACACTATACTAAGAATATACAAAGCACAGTTGCATCTAAATAAGTGTATTCTGAACGAAATGTTACAATTTCTTTTTTTTTTTACTCCTATAATTCAATCTACCTTTAGTTGTATCCTTCACTACTCTTGTCCTATTTTCTTTAATGACCTGGCCTTCCATTATTGAAACGATAAGACACTTTTGAACAGAAAATTAAAACTAATTTGATTAATAAAGTTATAAAAAAGGAAGTGCACCAACCAAAACCAGAGCCTGTTTACATGGCTTTGGCACTAACTACAAACTAAGCTGAAAAACTAGTTTGCCCACTATGAATGACTTAATAATAATGAATTCAGCAATTAAGCAAGATCAGAAGTGAATCGGAAAGTATGTTTACTTACACACACACACACACACGTTAGTTATTCTTAGTGTACCTTTTTATACACACACAATAAAACAAATATAAAAGAATAATAATGATTTTTATCAAATTTATTTAAAAGAAGATTAAAAGAATCACTTGTTTTTACAATTGATGTTATACAGTCAAACGTCATATGAAGAGGCAAAGAGAAAACAAGAAGAGTTCTAATAACTTAAGACTGATCGCAGATTCAAGTTCATGATTCCAGAGAACCCAGGCGCAAAAAACATTAAACCAGCCGAGCATTCATTACTTCCACAAATGCATTTGCATTCCATGGCAAAGAGTGATGTAGTGAGAGACAAAGAGCGTGGCACTTCATAGAGCGACGTTACACCCAGTCTCATGGAGGTCCACTAAATATGCCCCTTCACAAGGTCCACTTCAATGTGAAGCAGTCATTGGCTGTGCGTTTTCTGGCAGAAAGGCTCTCTCCGCCCCTCCGTGAGAGTCTCCAGGTCTAACCGAGGGAGTCGTCTGAATTGTCAAGTTCAGTCAGGGGGGGGGGGGGGGGGGGGGGGGGGGGGTTGAGTTTAAGTGGCCGAATGAACCAGTCCCTTTCTCTGGCGTCATTGTCAGTTGAAAACACAGCCATGATCTGGCAGTAGTGGTCACATCCTCAGGGAGCTACAATGACAAGCGTCAGGGCAGCTGCGATAGATAAGACTCGATGGCCTGCAACGTGAAGAGGAGACAGTACATAAGTTGTTGTAACAGCCAGTGGAACAGTACTCTGCACACATTACACTAATCTTTGTTTCACATTGTATCAACTGTTAAAACCATCCATGAATTCCCCATTACAAACATGACAACATACTGGATTACTTATTTATAGAACACCGACTTTAAAAATGTGAAGTTGATTTGGCTTTCTGCAACTAATACTTGTTAAAACATCATATGAAATGGCAGGAGGAAGCAGGAAGTGAAGATGGAAACAAATTCAACTCAGACAAAAGCTAGTCAGCTTATGGTTTTTTTTTTCTAGGATGGGAGTGGTTGACTGTGTCCACCCAAAATCAACAGAGGGTGGAAACAAACAAAAGGAGCTTGTGACACAATGTTCATCTCAAACCGTTTACAATTAATTTAGTTTTGCCAACTACAGGAAAACAAAGTGTGTTGCTTTTGCTAAAAATGAAATAAAATAGAACTTTTTATGAAACCTTCAAACAAGTAACCCAGACAAAGCACATTGTACTTAACATCTGTTCACTGTGGAGCTTTTTATAATGCTGGATAGTTAAATGAATAATGCATCAGGGTTTAATTGTTACATTTAGTGAGTCAAATATGAATCTGCAACGTTATCCATAACATTTCTCTGTCACGTAAATGTAGTACGAAAATGTTTTCCATTAAAGTAGTACATAGAAAGTAGCTTGCATATCTTTCAAATGCTTTGGGGGCCTTTTGTAAGTTATTCCAGAGTACAATGTATTAGAATAGTAACATATTTCGGTATCTTTCATATCTAAACATATTAAATCTATAGCTGTTTGGGGCCACAGGCCCAGGGTGCCCACCTCGGTTAACAGTAAAGTCTGTCCCTGATGTTTTATCCTGAACCAGAGTGTTTCTAACCATGAGTAGTAGGAACTTGGGTGTGTGTGACCCAACTCTGTCATGGCAGCTGTATTGCTCAGGACCCAAGGAAGCAAAGTGTTGAGTGTTAAGTTGTTCGTATGAGTGGTTCTCTAGAAAGCAGCAACACCACAGGCCGAGCATTCAGCCCGTTCTGAACGGGCGCTGCACGCGTCATAACAGAAATCCCCGGTACGTACTAACGTGTCACACTTCTCACCTTTGCCAGTTCTCCCGTAGATCCTGGAACCAAACATAACCGGGCCCCTTCCTTCCACAAGTCCTTCAGCCTCTGCTTCATGACTTCAATATTCCTGCAATAAACACACAGACATGACCATTGCATTATGTGGTGAGTGCACACAGAACCCATAGTAAGTGACCGTAGTGATCTTTATCTCCTCTTCAGTTTCTACTGTGCTGATTAGCAGCATTTCCAGTGATGTATTGTACATCAGTAGAACTGTTTTGTCATTGTCAAAGATTTGTATAGAATCAAAACCTTGGAAAAAGAAGCAGAGTTTCAAAATATATAAATTGGTTGTGTCATGAAGTGTTGGGTTGTATTTAAGCCGGCACTGCCCACCTGTCTTCTGAAGAACTGTCCCGCAGTCTTTTCTCATTCTTAGAAAGTTCTGGCCACCATTTCCTGATGACGGACTGAACCCAGTGTAAACCCACCATAATGTTCCTGTAAAACAAAATTAGTCAAATCATAATGTTAAAACATATCTGTTAAACTTCTCCAGGTCACAAGTCAAAGAGATTTCATGACTCATCCAAGAGGCTTCATCAGTTCTCACTTCAGTTTATTGGTTATTCGTCTCACCGGCTGAAGTATCTTGATTGAATAGAAAATTGTCTTCAAGACTAAAACAGTAAACACTTTTTCGCTCGGTGACACTTACTCTTCATATTTACTGGCAAGAATCACTTTCACAAGGGGCATTAGGTCAACGCAGCAGCCAAGTGACAAACATGGTGCTTCAGTTTGAAGGCTGACGGGAAAAAAAAAAGAAGAAAGAAAACACAAGATTAAAGAAAGTGAGCCGATTGTCAGTAATGTAAGCAGGCACAGAAAAATACATTTATTTGTATTATAACAATATAATTCCAAAAAATATGATTTAGATTAAGTTGCTTGAAGCTAAAAGAAGAACTGTGAGACGTGAATTTGGGCTAGGAACAACCATGCTGCACATTTTTCACTTCTTTCGGTCGTTCAACAGACTTTTAGATTCATCGAGAAAAGGTGGATTAATCAAAACAATTAGTTGCATCCATAATGATGCTACATGATCTTGTTTAATACAGCCAAATCATTTAAAAATGAACATGTGAAGATGAGACTCACTTATTTGTTAAGACAGGTAAGCAGTCAAGCAGCACCCCCGTGTCTTCAATTCTGTAAAAACCAACAAATGATTAAAGATGAAGCATGTTATGCGATTGAGGAATTTACAATAAACTACAATAAGGCAGTATTAGCTGTCACTGATTTACCGTATTAAGTAGGCCACTAATTCGCTAGCATTTCGTCGCCATAGTGTTTGGGCTACTTTTAGTCGGAGGTTCCTTCCAAAAAGGACGTGAGTCATGGCTTCATGGTCCTTTGATAGCTGTACGTAAAAGACAAACAATGCACAAAGGGAAATCAGTCTGCAAAAGTGTTGCAAATGTTATGAACCCCGAGAAATAATCAGTTCTATTGTTTTCTTGAGCAGAGCATCAGTTTTTTGTATCTCACCTCAGTGAAGTCTCTGTACTTGGAGCTGGCCCCTGCCATCTTGGAGGCCTCTGCAGAGTTTACAGGGAGCCCGCAGTTGTCATTGTGGTGCATGCCCCGCACATCATCGGTGCACGTCAGCTCATTTTCTTTGTTGGCCATGCCGGGTTCACGGGCACGGCCTACATCTGATGTTTTGCGGTGCAGCTTTAAGCCCACCTCCACCAACGGACAACCCTTCCTCTTGCAAGATGACAATCGCTTTGCTTTGGATGGGCTCTGTACTCCGTAGTGGACTGGAAATCTGCCGAGAGCAAAGTCGTCATGGACCAGAGGCAAAGCTGTCATAGTTTGGAAAAACATTAAATTCATAGCCACAGACAAGGTGATAATGGGTAAGGAAAGGGGCCTTTAATGGTCCAGTGACTGAGAGGGAATATCTGTGGGACACAGAGCGAGTGAGTGATCATATTTAAGATGAACCCCACAGGTGTGGATCAGAGACTCACCTTTCTTTATCTAATTCTTCCTTATTTATAATATCCACCTAAAACGAAAGGATAGGGGATGAAGCCACTACTACAACATCTACTTCTACAACACCACTGAACTGTACTTCACAGTCACAAGGTTTTAAGAAACATCATTGTTTACACAATAAGACGTGGGATTTGCCCTCACATCTCCATACCTGCTTCATGTTCTTTTCAGGAGAAAAATGCAGGCAGGATTGCAGAAAGCCATATGGATTTATTCTGGTTGATCTTTAGGACTTCTCGTTGCCGGACATGCTTACCAGCTTCCACAATACGAGACACTGTTGGGGAAACAGAAGAGACAACTCAGGAGTTTCAAGAGCCAAAGTCACTTTGTGGCACAAACAGGTTGGCTTCCTTCAATTTAACATGCAGCAGTGTGATTCAATAAGATTAAAAACAGATATTCAAATTAGCTAGCTAGATAAACAAGACAAAAACGCTATATTTGAGTTACAAAGGCGTTGGCTGCTGCGATACAAGCATTAACTCGAGTTAGGTGAGCTACAACAAACGTTACAAACCTTCTGTGTTCATTAAAGTTTAAGTAGTAGGCTTTATGTCTAATAAAGGAGAGCATTCGCTTACGTTCATTAGCTGAGAGTTAGCTTATGCTGCTAGCTAGTTAGCCTAGAACTAGTAGTTAGCTTTAACGGTTAGCGTTTAGCTCAACTATCAAGGATACACGGAGACGGTGAAAGTAACGAGCTGGGCCGCTAATGCGAGCTAGCTGGCTAGTTAGCCTTTCAACTCAGGGAACATATGGCTTCACAAACTGCAGTTTATCTCCACCATTTAAACAGTACGGTTTTAAACAAACCTGTTCATTTTGTTGAGACGCATTGGGTCTCCTCAGGTGTGTAAATCCAAAACGTGAAACAACTGGTAAAACTCCAGAGCACTCTTCTCTGTGTAGGTCCCGCTAGCGTTTCAGAGTTGTATCATTCAAATGAATACACCGCCGCCTGTGCTGTGTGTGGGGATTGTGGGATAGATTTTGGCAAAGAAAAGCTGGATATTTAGCGACGACTGCTGGACATTACGAAACACGTTTTAAATCCAAGTGCGCCATGGCGCCACCCAGTGGCAGGAAGGCTGTAATGCAGAAAGGCATGCTACGTTTTCTCTACCCTCCAGGTGTCAAACAATATTTTAATTCGTGAAGGCTGACAGTCTTCAGTGGAGAGGGAGAAGTATTCACAGTACTAATACCACACTGTGAAAATACTCCACTACAAGTTCTGCATTCAAAGCCTTACTTAATTAAAATGATGTATCAACAAAATGTTCAGTAGACTATCAAAAGGTGATAAATTATGTTTTGGGATCAATATGACTGCTCCATTAATGTTTCTCATACACGTTGCATTTTACCGCAGTCGATCTTCAAAGTTATGCTAATTTTAACTACTACTGCTCATCCTACAGTTTATATAAAAAAAACATTCAAATTGAAAATGACCAACTTTGGAGGCGCATGTTTTTCACTGGGCAGGAAAGGTATGAGGAATTGTAATCTGGCAAGTATCTAGTGCTGTTCAACAAATGTAGTGGAGTAAAAAGTACAACATTTCCCTCTGAGATGTGATGCCGTCTCCACTCAGCCCTCACACATCTTGAAAATAACAACTTCGACATCACAGTGTTGTTTGTTGATTTCAGCTCAGCATTCATCATCAATCTCCCCCATGACACTGATTGGTGCATCTTTGGGCTTGAGTACCTCACTCTGGCACTGGTTATTAGACGCCCTCACAAACAGACCTGAGGCAGTTTCAGATTGGCAGCACCTCCTCCTCTGGAGTGGTGTGCTTAGCCCCCTGCTATGCACGCTGTACTCCCACAACAGCTATTCCCAACATGAAGAGAACTCTGTTGTGAAGTTTGCAGGTGACAATTTTATTGGGAAAAAAGGAGGCAAAGAAACACACCCCTGTCTACATCAATGGAGCACAAACAATCGGATTCCTTCATGTGGCCTCTTGTGTCAGTGGATATCTTCTGTTCTTTAATTCAACTTAATATGATCTTAGAAGAACTAAGATCCTATTCAGATTTTAGAGCTGCAATGATTAGTTCATTAATCATTTTGAGTGATTTTCTTTTTTCAGATTTGATTAGATAATCTAACCAGAAGTGCAAAAAGCAGTTTAGTGCAGAGTAATGTACATATGGTGGTAATATAAATAATAGTAAGAAGTAGATGAATACACTAAGATACAGCAGCAGCAGTTATATTAGGCAGTGCAGGTACATACTGCATAAAAGGTTTCAGAATTGACCAAGAATATGCCAGTCACCTTTTTGTTTTTTTCTTTGTTTTCTTCTTTAAAAACTCTTCAGAGATTAATTAAACAAATATTGAAAAACTACTGTTTATTTTTACACTCCTGATTGACTTGCCCCTTAAACGGCAGCAGAACATGTATGAAAGTTGAAAAACATATATTGTCTGGAGTCTGGACAGTATATATGAACTCCTGTTGAAGGTTGTTTAGACCAAAACATTGTGTCAAATGAATATGAAATAAACCACCAATAAGCAGGACAGTGTTGTGGAGTAGAGAATTATAATGTGACATTAACATTTAGTTTGAAGTGAGCTCGAGCCTAACTGCCTTTTTAACTATACAACTGCATTCGCTTGTTTATTGTGAGACGCACAGAATTGAATTTCTGCTGTTGACAAAGTTTTTCCGTACAGATCATTCATATTTTTTAAGTCTCCCAATTGAATGATCCAATATTCCTTAAAAAGGAAACAGAAGTTACACAACAGATCAAGTGCAGAGCCATGGCAAGATGATGCTTTCAGCATCCCACCTTCGATGTGGTCTGGTTTAAACGTCTTTTCTTTATTTAGTCATAAACTTCTCTTTTACAGCAGGGCCTTGAGCAGAGTTTAAATTGCGGACAGATATTGGCAGAGCTTATGAATTTATCCGAGCACTGTTTCTCAAAAGTGAGTTCAATCTGCTGTGGGCAGTATTTTGTTTTGGAAATATTTAGGCAGGTCTATTTGCAGCTTTCTGACTCCTGACGAGACCCACCTGCTCCGCCACGCTCTCTCTCTCAAAATAGATCACCAACAGATTTTTTCTTGTGCAAATCTGCTAACAATTTGAAGCAAGAGCATACACACATCACAGAAATACCAGTGAAAATAGTTTTCTTCTCACTTACACATTGCATCAGGTGATCATGGGACAGAAGATTCATTTTATGTAGGTTGTGGGAACTTTGTAAGCTTTTTCTCTCTTTAAATAATCATTATCTCAGCCAATAAACTAGCAAGAGATGATTATATCTTAAAGTAAAAATTTGCATTTTGGGATATAAGCTAATTTACTTTCTTCAGCAGTCAGGTATAGCTTAGCTTAGCACAAAGACTTGTAACAGGGGGAAACTGCTAGCTTTGTTCTGTCCACAGGTAACACAAACTAATCAACAAGTTAGATCTTGTTTGTAAAATCTGTACAGAAAGTGTAAAAATGACAATTTGCGGTCTTTAGGGAAGTGTCTATGTTTTTGGCTTTGGCAAGAAATAGTCCGGCACACACACCCTGCAAAAAACCCACAAAATGTCATTTTTACACAAGATAAAACATGTTACTTACTGAGTTTTAGAGGTGCTGGTAGGCATGTTTTGTCGACTTTGTAATGAGCCAGGCTAGCTGTTTCCCCCAGTTTCTAATCTCTATGCTAAGCTAAGCTAACCAGTGTCTTGTTGCTGCTACATAGTTGTCGTAGAGATGTGATAGTGGCATCGGTCTTCTCAAATCATTCTCAGCGCATTTCCCAAAAATGTCACACTAATGCTTTAAGGTGATCATGGGGCTGTACTCCCTAAATGTTGGAGCTTTGAAGAGATTCAACTATAGACTCATATACAACTCATATCATCTTCAATCAAGTTCTTCAATGAGTGAATATGGCTGCTGCACACCCTTGATCCTGCACTTTTTTTTGATGATTCATTTCACATTATTTTTGATTTCACGAGGCTGAGGGAGTGATCTCTGGCTGCTCTGTTATGTTACAAAGGAGTAACATTTCCTGGCACGTTTTAGGTAGACGGGAAACCTTAGCGGGCAACGTAAATGCCAAAAAATACAAAGCAATATCAATTCTGTGTGATTGCCTTCGTCGCCTTATGATGAAGCGTTTCTATCCTGATGGAAGTGGAATGTTCTCAGGGTGATATTGTCTTTTCAGGCTGGGAGTGGTCATTGAGAGGGAAGATGAAAATGAAAACAATGTGAATCACTTCTACTCAATTCAGCATCTTGTAGTGGCAATGGAAACAGAACGCTTCACAATTACAAGCCAACCACTGAAAAATAGAATTTCCTAAAAAGTACATTGGTGTTAATGCAATTGTGAAACTTGCAGAATCTATGCCATAGCACAGAGAAGGTGCCCATAGTGGTCCAACACACTATTCAAAGAATTCATAAATGAAAATGTCTGGTGGCTGTTTTTGTTTAATTCCAAGAATCAGAGCGCAGCTGCATGTACCAACCCAAACATACCAATTCTTATATTAAAATAAACCAAAGTAAGATCAATTCAAATCATCGTACTGTTGATGTACATGAACAACATCCAAACTAAATGTTCCAGTCCTTTGATGGAAGCGTAATTCGATTTTTGTAAATCCTTGGTAAATTGTGTCGGGCAGTGGCAGTCTAGAATCTCAATCACATTCAAGCCGCCTTCAAATGCTGTGGATTTTTGAGACTACACTGCTTCTACAGGCACAAAACATTCAGACTCCAAAAACAAGATTGGTCTGGAGTGAGATGATACAATCTAATGTGGTCACAAAAATGGCATCATCTTCGTTGTGCTGTGGTTTAGCTACCGTACCGTACACAGTCTCAGAGTCTACAGCCTTGCTTTGAGCTAAATGCTACTGTCAGAATGCTAACATGCGCACAATAACAATGCTAACATGCTAATGCTAAGCGGTGTTACCAGTGGGAAACTATAACAAATGACATGGTAATTAATACAGCCAAAGACTGTGGCTCAAGGTAATTAAACCAACATTTTAAGGATGTAATACTTTGATGTCCATGTTTTTTTTTAAAACTCTCACGCCACCAACATTGCAATCATAAAAAACTCTTGACTTGTCTGATGATGTAAACTCTTTCCCGTCTCTACCGTGCATCCCACATGACACGGCATTAGAAAGCAGCACTATTGCATTAGATGTGCAGGTGTTCATAATATTGAGTCTACCCCTTGTATACTTCACAGTGCTGCTTCTGTGACGTACAGCAGTCTCGAAGGCATATGTTAATCATTACAGAGTGCATCATTTTGCTTTGAAACAAATTAGCATACAGATGTTTCAGCTTGAAATTGAGGCAGATTTAATTATGGTGACTGACTAATGCAATTTCAGTTCAACCCTCAGCTGCGTAGAAGGGCATGCCTTCTGTATTTGAGAGTAGAAACATATGCATAAGAATATAAAAGGTCTTATATCCATAGACTAGAAGTAAATTCTAATAGGCCTATGCACATTCAAAACATTAGTCATACTTTATGGTGCATTTGAGATGGATTATTAATATAATATATATATATATATTAATATTAATATCTGTCCAAGTTGTAAACAAATTATACAACACAAAAATATTTACTGGAGCCAAAATACTAACTGTACAGAGGGTACAGTTAGATAACTTGCTGATAACTACTGAATATGTTAATGTAATACATATGTATACTGTGCAGTGTGTTTGATGCATTGAAACTAATCCTATATATATATCAGCTCACTAAAACATTGAGAAGTCACAGACTGTGTTAATTTCAGTCATCCGGGCCTTTTTGTAAACATATTTCCTCTTAAAAAGTAAACATGAACCGATAAATCTGCATTTCTCAGACAAAAGCAACCACCCACAAAGTCAGTAAGAGTATTAGGAGATTTACATTAGCGAGGTAT